GAGTTTGAATTTCTGCGTTAAATAGTATCAAAAGGAGCAAACTTGTCGAGGCCGAGTTCGATCGTTCGAGGCTTCGTTTTCTCAATTTTTTCAGCTTTTCGTCTATTCGAACGGAGGTATAATTCTTGATTATTTTTATAATTGAGTCCGAGATTTTTATTAGTATAAATTCGAGTATTTTTTGAGTTAAAACAATTCAGTTTAAGTATACTAGTTTAATTTCGGACTTAGTTTGATTTTTAGAAAAATCTCTAGATTATTCTTTTATATCTCTGCGAAAATTTTTGAGAGCGTCCACAAAAACCCTTTGAATGTCATTCCGATGCCGGAGTGGAAGTGGTGCGCCGCGGGATGGCCGGAGTGGGGATGGTGCGCCGCGGCAAATTGGGCCCTCCCCGGGATGACCGGCTGGTTTCGCCACTGTCTACATATTCAAATATTCCTTGACATGACCCTAAACTATCTACATATTCAAATGCTCATTGATATGAGCCTAAACATCTATAAAGCTCCTCGATATGAGCCAAAACTATCCAAACCTTAAGTTCAAATGCTCCTTGATATGAGCCTAAATTATATATATGGCTCCTTGACACGAGCATAAAATGTCTACAAATTTGAAGCCTCCTTGACACGAGAATAAAAGGTCTACAAATTCGACGGCTCCTTGATACGAACATAAAAGGTCTATATATCAAGATCTCCTTGATATGAGAATAAAAAGATCTACATATCAAACTTGAAGGCTTTTTGACACAAGCATAAAATGTCTACAAAATGTCTACAAGCTTGAAGACTCCTTGACACGAGCATAAAATGTCTACAAATTTGATGGCTCCTTGATACGAGTATAAACTATCTATAAAAAATCAAATCAAATTAAGAACTCATTGATATGAGTATAAACTATCTATCAAGTCAAATCAAGAACTCCTTGATACGAGTATAAACTATCTGTCAAATCAAATCAAGACTCCCTGATAGAGTTTAAACTATATACAAATCAAGGCAAATGAAGAACTCCCTAATATGAGTTTAAACTATCAAACTCAAGTCAAAAAACTCCTAGATAAGAGTTTAATATATCTACATGTCCAAACCAAATTCAAAATTTTGAGAGTCATTCACTACCAAAATATTTTGTCCGTGAACAAGTCTCAGAGTGGCATTTGTAGACATCGAAATTTTAATATTTTATTAATTAATGTCTTTATTTATTTGAGACATAAATCCAAGATAAATAAGATATTTAATTAATAAAGTTATTATTTCTTGTCCATCAAGTCAAATCTTATGATAAGGAAATAAATTATATCAAATCTTAGGAGAAGTAAATAGATTATGTCAAATCATGAAGAACCAATCAAATTGAAGTCTTCTTCTCCAAGACTCTCTCTCATACACCTATAAATAAAGATCTCCTCAATGCCACAAATCACACCTCAAAATTTCAATCACACCTAAAAAAACCAACACCTCATAAATCAAACACAACTCAAAATATCAAACACATCTAAAAAATAAAAGTCTCAAATTCAAGATCTCTCAAGAACCCTCTTGAAGATTTGAAGAACCGCCCGAAGCGTTCAATGAAGAAGAAGACCAAGAAGAAGAAAAAAAGGCGGCGGCTTTTCCCCAAGAAGTAAAGAGACGACTTCAACTCCTCTCAAATCAATCCAAGAATATCAACGACGTTCAAGTGACATTCACGCTGCATTCGTTGAGAAGTTCAACAAACATAACGTTTGATTCGGGAAAAAAACTATCAAGCCCTCGAATCAACGTTATTCAAGTCCCTCTTTCCAGAAGATCAAAGAAGCAAGTCTTCCAAAAATTCATCATCAATCGAATCAAGTCCTAACATTTAATGCGAGAATAAGTCATTTGACCTTCAAATTAATGTTAGAGGAATTCAAGATCAAGCCTTAAGAAAATCCAAGTCCAAATCCATCTTCCAAAGTCTCAATGCAAATAAAAAAAAAAAGCAAGTCTTCCAAAAATTGTTGTCACAATGATAATTCTTAATATATATATATATATATATATATAAACTTTTGTCAATAAAGAATAGTAGATTGACTTGTCTCATATATACGTATACAATATTGTACATAGCAGTGTACATAACACTCATATTTGAGTGGATCCACCAAATATAAAAAATCAAGTGGGCCTCATTTCATGTGAGTGTTATATATATCAACCTCTATGTATATTTATTATGTACTTGTAGCATTTTTCATCTGACTTACATAAAAACTTGTGATTTGCATGATACATTCGTAGTATTATGAGATTGTTCTTCTTATCCTACCAAGCCATCTTATTAAATTGAAACAATATTGTAATAATAATAATAATAATAATAATAATAATAATAATAATAATAATAATAATAATAATAATAATAATAATAATAATAATAATAAACGACAGCAATAAAGCATTCCTTGTCAATTAATTTTCACCTAACTTGACATGTAGGTTTTATTAAATAACAACATACCTAACTTTTTCATAAAGCCATTAATTATGTAAAACGATTCATCATTATGAAACAATGGTTACACGCAATTTTGTTAATTTAAAATTCACTAATGAATTAGAAAGAAAAAAGTAACCACTTCAACATCAATGTTATTAATCATACTTTTTCAGTCATATAAGTATTATTTATGTAGAGATGAGCAACAGTGTGGTTCGATGAAAAATCGCACCGAACTGAAAAAAATTAACTTAAAAACTTAGTCTAGAAAAAAAAAAATCATCAAAACCGAAATCGAATTGATTTATTTTTTAAATAAAGTAACCGAACTGCATTGCACCGAAATGTACGATTTAACTTGGTTTTTGATTTTTTTTTTTATGTATACGTTTCATTCAAATTTGTGTGGTTTGATGCAAAACCAAACCAAATCGAACAAATTCGAAAATAGAACTGATAAAAAATATAACTGCACCAAACCGCAATGTAGGAAAAAATCAACTCATCGTGATTGCACGGTTTGACTCGATTTTGCTCATCCCTACATTCATGCACAAGAGGAGAATTATAAAAATAATATAAATAAAAGTATGAAATTTTTTCATATAAAAATGTATTTTGAGTCAAACAATATGATGAAGATGAGATTGCGTTGACCTTTTTGGACAAATATGATCGTTTGACATCATTGGTTTATTAAATTTATTCATTTGTGTTTTATTAATATTAGTTCTAGATTTTGTAGGGGATATATTAGGAAAAATTATTATATTCTTTTACTTGGTAGGGAAGTTATTTATATTTTAGTCCTTTACTTGGTAGGAAAATTATTTAATTAGAGATTTCTTAAGAGTCTTAAGTTTATGGTTTTCTTAGGAGTTCTATATAAGCCCCTTTCTATTGTTTCGAGGGGGAGTTGAGTTCAGATTGAAATAAAATATATTGAGAGATCTCTCTTGATTCTCTTAATCGATTGCCCTTTCACTACATCAGTTGGTATTAGCAAACCAGTACGATTCGTAAGTGATGTTGCCCAAACAAAACGATCCGCAGAAAGAGGGTTGTCAAACCCTAAATCGAACTTAGGCTCAGGTAAATCCGACACGACTACATGAAATTGTTAGAAATTCAAGGAATTCTTTCGGGGAAGGTGACCGAAATTGAGATCCCCATTCGATTAGGCAAAGGTTAGCTGAAATGAATAGGCCGGTCTGACGACGAGGGGAAGATGGTGAAGAACAAGAACAGTGAGGACAAGAACAATCCGAAGTACAAAAAAATTTTCAATTCGTAAATAAAATGATTTAAAATAATACAAATCTTAAGGTTGTGACGATGTACCATCGTATTCGTAGGATTGATATACAAATTAGATAAATAGATGAACCTAAAACTAAATACAATTATTATTTTTTAAATTAATTGATTTGATTTTTAATTTTAAATAAAAATAAGAGTATAACAGGATTTTAGCATGTGCAACACATACGAGACAACCAAAGTTCTATTGCCTCGTACATTGAATCTATAATTGATATTCATGTTTTAGTCAATCTAATTGTAAAATAGGGGTACCTAACATTAAGTATGTACGAGAAGACAACCAAAGTTCTATTGCCTCGTACATTGAATCTATGGTTGATATTCAATTTTGAGTCAATCTAATTGTAAAATATGGGTACCTAACGTTAAGTATGTACGAGGATACCTGATCGTAGAACGACCTCACTTCTACAGTCCTCACACAGTATCTGAAGGCAGCAATAGTTTCTTTGTCATTTCCTTATGGGAGAATTCAAAGCTAATCCTAGATAGCTAGTTGTGAAATACATAAGAGAACAAGACACATACATCTTGCTTTCATGGCCCAAAATTTGTTTATAACCTCTTTGACAAAAAGAAGGGAAAGAAAACAGTACATAATCCAACATTTTGTTACAATCATTATCACCACCAATTTTACAAACTTCACCTTTTGAGGAATATCTATGAAAAACTATTGACATTTTTACTTCTTACCTTTTTTTCTCCTTTAGTAACTTTATACTTCACCCATCTCCAGAAACCTCGAATTCCTGCTGTCGTCGGTAACCAGAAGCAGTAAATCCGGCATACCAAGCCACCCTCATGAGCTGCACCCCAAAAACGAGCACCCACCCACACACCAACCCTCTCACCATATGCACAGTCCAGGCCGGCACACCCATCTCTGGCCCGAGCCCAAGACCCCTCATCAGCTGCAGCAGACGGTACCCCTCGTACACGACCGGAGCCACCAGCCACACCGGGGACCCCCACTGCCACGTCAGCATTTCCGTCAGCATCTGCACCGTCAGCAGCAGGAGGTACGGGCCCAGCATGACCGCAAACGGGACGAAGCCCATTCTGGGCTGCAGCAGCCCGAGCCCGTTTTCCGAGCCGAGGTACGCCAAAAGTGGTACTGCGAACCCCGTTATATTCGCAAGCACGTTGAAAACTCGGTAGTCGAGAGGAGGCCTGCTTTTGCAGGCTCCGGAGCTCTCCTTGGGGCCCGCACGGGCTGCTGAGTCGGCCATGAGGAGGAAAAGGAAGGCCCCGAGGTTGAAAATGCAGTCGAGGCCCGTGAGGGAGAGGAGGCCCGATACAGTCGGGCCCGGGAAGATGGAGGAGACCGGCAGCCACAGGGTGGGGACCATGCCCGTGAGCAGGAGGATGGCGGGGCCCAGCAGCCATAGAGGGATTCTAAGGTAACCGAGGTTTTTGGAAGTGAGGTGTTCGGTTTTTTCGGCAATCGAGGGCTCGGGGGGTTTGCTTGGGGAATTCAAGGTTTCGAAGATGTTGGCGGCGGCTGGTTTTGGGAGTGTATCTTGGTGTTCGGATGCGTAGGATATGGGGGCGGGTTCCCACTGGGGCGCGCTTGAATTGAAACATCTAAAGCGTTTGAAATTTGCGCTGGCGGGTAGCTTACGAGATTTTTGGAGGCTCAGGCGCTTATGGGGAAATTGGGAGAGAGCAAGTGTTGAGGTAAATGATGCCATCATTAGATTAGTCAAGTGTTTTTTTTTTATTTTTTCAAGAACTTGTTGAATGCTTCAACAAATAGGACACAAGCTTGAAATTACCTGTAACGATAATGAGAAGTAATTTTGAGACGAAAAAACTGAAATGCTAACAGGCAAAAAGCATTAGGTCTGTATGAATTTATGCAGTGCTTCATAATGCAAAGGCCAATGCACACGACAACTAAAACCCAATATACCAAATATGACATTTCATATCGTGATAATGCAACCAATGGGATTAATGCCGCAGCGAAAGTGGCACTTCTATAGATTAATTTTAGCTTCGCTGGATATTTGAAGGAAAAAAAATAAAAAAATCAGAAACAGATCTACATTATCTAAGACTCATTCAATAAGCCAGAAGATTCATGCTTAAAGGTTATTCGAAAAGGAAAAAAAAAAAATCGGATCTTTTTTTGGGAGTTTTGTCCAACAAATTATGGACTAGGCATGGCAAATAGTAAATGAACTGAAAAGAAATTAGATAGAATAGAGAAATCTAACAAGGGCATTACCACATCTATTTAATCGTGCATCAGTCGAGTTGAAGCTCCACATCCAGCCATGATAACAAAATTTCAAAAACTATCAAAAGCAATGTTAGATTCTTCATAAAAACAGAAATTTATTTAAAATAACAGTATCAATATTTGGGATCCCTGATTCCAACCAAATCGTTATATTATATATTTCGATAGAAGAAAATAGATTAAAAAAAAAAAAAAACTGAAAGAACACATTATATTGAAGATGCATATGCATAATCCAACATAAGGTAGACATAAGGTAAAACTCTACAAACAGCTCATCACCAACTGCAAAAACAATGACTTTCTCTTGAATATCAAATAGAATTCAGAACAATAATGAATCGAGATTTTACACAAGTAAATGCGATTGGCACTGGTCTTGTTCAATCACTTTGCCAGTTTTGCTATGTAGCCATCGGATGGCTCGGCTTATGGAGTCATCCATAGTTATTCACAAATAGAGTATTGACACGTGTCCCACAATAAATACACTTTGGACATGTGTCAATACATTAACCGATCGATGGCTCCATAAGAAAAACCATCCGATGGCTCCATTGAATTTTTGCTGCACGTTTATATGTTTGGTAATTAGTAAAACACATGTTCAACTTTGCCTAACTGTACAAGAAAAGTTCAAGTCTTGCAATGTAAAAACTACAGATAACACCATAACCTAGCAATAGAAAGGTCGAATCTAGAAACAAAGTGCTAAAACCTGTAGAAATAAAATAAACAGCAAAAACCCACAAATTGAATCAACAAAAAAATATCAGGACATAAGCTGTCATGCCAAAATGTCTTTTTTCTTTCTTTTTTTTTTTATTTTTTTATTCAATTTCTGGAAATTGGAACATTAATGAATAGGAACCCAAGAAACAGAGTAAATCCTAGGTTTTCTTCCTCGATTGAGATCGAAAAATTTCAAAGAGATAAAATCAGATATTATTAACTTGAGAAATGGGATTTACCTTATTTGCCACGATGACATAGAACAGTCGAAGTTAATCAATTAAGGTCTGAAGAAATACTCGAGCGATGAAAGAATCATCGGACTCAGGCAGCCCGTCGGAGCTATTTTCATTTGATATCCCGCTAAACACCGGACGAGATGGTACCGTAATGAACCACATTTCAATAAATTAAGTGATTATTGTGAATAGTCGCTGAAAATAAAGTAACAACACTATGTGGTTTAGAATAAGCAATTTATTAATGTAATCTAGCAATGTGAGGTCTTTTGTTTCGTGTATGTAACATAAATAACTAAATAAAATATTTCTTAAAAAACAAAACCAAAATTAGATTGGTCAACCTAGGATCATTTTATAAATAGCTAAATAAAATATTTTTTTGACAAAATTAATATAAGATTTTATTAGATTGATCAACCTTGGATCGTTTTGTTGAGTGTAATGTAATGGAATCGGGCTAAATTAATCCAGTGGATAGAACACAAAGAATATTAAAGAAACCCCAAAACTAATTATATCGAATTGAATATAACATTTCAGCCAAACGCAACTTTAAGGTCGCTTTGGGAACCTTGACCAGATTCTTGCATCAAACATTCAAAATTGTCCTCGATGGCACACCTGTGTCAATATGTGTGTGACTCTGTGCGACCCAAAAGTAAAAAACTCGGTGTGGGCATCGAATTAGGATCCTTAAACCTTCTAACTACTAGACCAACGAATATATAATGATTCCTACGTCGGGTTCTGAGCCGTTGGATCAACAAAAACCCACACTGCTTTGTGTATGTGCGTATGATCGACGAGTTTCACCCTGCGTATGTTGGTAGGGTAAAATTAGCCTAGGCACACACTTTCACTCTCCAGTGTGTGCATGAATTGACCTAAGCAAGGAACATATATCAATCAACATATCGTATCCATCACATAAAAGACATAAAACTTGCCTAAACATAAACCCCTCAACTCTTTTCATCCAATCTTTAGCAGATTAAGTAAGCATGCAACACAAATCAATCAACGTATGCTAACAACAACATATATACAATCATGGAATATGTATAAGGGAACCAAATTGCAACGACTCGATCATGTCAAAATCGGGCAAGTTGAGAGGCGGCAGAGAAAATTGGCCATAAGTCGAGCTCCCACTTCTCATCCCCTGCATTGTCAGAAGCGCCGCCACTGTGTTCCTCAATATCCCTTCTCCGACAGGCGGCACTGCCATAACATCTATTTTGGCGTGGAATATTCTGGCAATGTTCTCAAACGGCGGCATCACCGTATCTATGGTGGCTTCACACTGCCTAACAAGATTCGATAATAGTTCGGTGGTGAAAAATGGCTGTTGAAGGACTTTTTGTATGAAGGGCAGCCGCAAGACTCCACCCGTTCTTTTGTCGTACTTTTTTAGTATCTTTGTCAATCCTGAAATTTTGTATATTTAAATATTTATTTATCCATCTGTTTTTGCATCAAATGTGAACAACTAAATAAAGGAAAAAAAAAAAAAGAAAAGATTACCCGTGTAGTTAATGGTGCTGTAATTGATAAGGAGAACCATTTCACCATGAAAATTGACAATGTCTTTTCTAATCTTACCCATCTCCTCTTTGTACTCTGCCTCATTTTGCTCCCCATTTTTCAATCACTTTCTTCATTCTCTCCTGTAATTCCTACACCAAAACACTTCCTTCTTTCGCATTTCGTTTGTGTTGCTTTAAAACGAAATCGGAAAAAACATATATTGCAGTAAGAGGTGTACATACAATATATGAGCTTACAACTTATCCAAGATATATATGCCTATATGTTAAAATATATATTCAAAATATATAGGCTTATGAAAAAACGTTCGGTGAAACTATTTTTGGTACTTGACGAGACGAAAAGAAGATACACTGACCTTATGCCGAATGATGAAGTCCTCTTCTTGTTCCACAAAGAAGGCATTGAATTTTTCGATCTCGTGGTTCAAAAGGCACGTGAACTTGGCCTCTGCATTGATCGTCTCTGCCTCCACATAGTCGGATGACTTGTTTAAGGTACCCGAGCCCGTGGAGATTGATTTCACGAGCTTTTTCAATTCCTTATAAGTTAGAAACTTTTCGCGCCATTCGGGCGAGCTCTGCTCGATTTGGTGTTTCAATTTCTTGCCGAACTTCATGTTACAAACAAATTGAGTTTTTCTTACCAACACTGAATTGGATGTCAAGAGTTGTGAGAAGTGTGTTTGTGTGTGATTGATTGTTAGGGGCAATGTAAGATAGGTAATAAAAGATGGAATATTTAGGCAGCATATGCTTAGCTTAATAAAGTGGCGATTGAAAAAATGAGTATAAGAAGGGCCTTTGAAGCTAAGTGGATTCCCAGCATATTCGGTTCATATGTCATACCTCTAACTAGCAAATTCTCTGACCTTAATTTAATAATAATTTTGAAAAAAAAAAATAGCTAGAAATTAAGGGAATCCTCTTCATTGTGTATAAATGAAGAATTTTTCGAAGTATGTGTCTAACTTCGGGTTTTTTTTGTATGTTCACTAAGAGCAACTCTAATGCTGCGCTGAGTAGAGACAAAATTGCTCTCCAACGCTATGCTACATTTCTACACTACTCTAGAGTTATGAACAGTATCGCGCTACATCTGGCGCGGTACTATTTCAATACTCTACTTTTTATTTTATTTTTTTAGATTATGCAATTAATTTATCTTAAAATTTATTAATTGACAAAGTTTTTATCATTAAATTTATAATTTAATTCGAGAACTATATAAAAATATTATTTTTAAAAAATATATTTATATATTGAATTACTCAAAAAATAAATCAAATACTACAAAATTATAATTATTTGTGGAACAATATTTCATACTAGTGGAAGACCAGCTAACATCATGATATATTTTATTTTATGAAATAATATGTGCAATTAATATATATTTTGACATGTTAAATAAATTAAAATAATATGAATAATATATGTGGAGTACAATATAGCGCGAATAGTTGGAGGTCGAATTTGATTTTTGGTTAACATTACTCTAGAGTAGAGTAAACTCTACACTTAGAGATAAGGACTGAAGATGGTCTAACGATTTTTGTACTTGTGCATATTGATACACACATACGGTTATTCATACTTTTAAAATTATAAAATAAAATAAATTGTAAAATATAAATGTTATGATTAATTAGATTTTGATATAGGATAATATCAAATTAATCATTTCTTATTAGGTTTGATTTGACATTGCATATGTATATATATATATATATATATATAATATCTATATTAATTGGTGGTCAAAAATAACTCCGTTTGAACCGGTTCCAAACCGTCGATTCATTGATCCAGCTTGGAACTACCAATTCAATGAACTGACCCGTGCATATGTACGAATTGGTTTAGGTTTCTCCAAACTCGGGTTGCACACAAATCGAGAGGCTGCTCGCGAGCAATTTAGTCAAAGCTCGGTTCGAGCTCGAGCGGCTCGAGCTCGAGCGGCTCGAGCACAAACTCGAGTCGAACTTAAGCTCAAATTTTGCCTTGTCGAGTGGCTCGAGATATATGTTAAATTTCTAAATTACCCATGTATATATATGTATCATAATATTAATATATGTACTTGGTAATTTTACAAAATTGATTGAAAAATTTCGAACTGAACTCGAGCCGAATATTGTATTTTTTTACTGAGTCGAGCTCGAGCCTCATAAATCGAGCTCGAGCAGTTCAGAAAAAAAAAATTAATTATGTTCGATAAGACCAGTGTTGACTCGACTCGGCATTTACAACTCTACTCCAAACCCCTGGTCCAGAACCGACCCCGAACTGACATAGAACCCGCCCGGAACGTAGTTTGGTCATGTCTACCCGAACTAATAAAACATTAAAAAAAATCCATTTACTCACCCTAATGGCGTAAATAAGCTGGAGTGGGACTCCAATGGCGGAAATAATAAAACATTAAAAAAATACAAAATCAAGAATTAATGGCAGCTCAATTCTTCACCCTAAGCCCGTTCTCATCATCCCCAACTCCACAACCCCCAATTCAAATTCAACGCAGTAACTCAATCCATTTACCCAAATCAACCCAATTATTATGTATAAGGGCGAAATCGACACCAGTTTCAGTACCCTGGGAAGAGCAAATTCCCCCAAATGCCCTTCTCCGGCGGCGCGACCCGTCGTGGCACGGCGGCTTCAGTCTAGGCCTTGACTTAGGGCTGTCCCGCACCGGCGTTGCCGTCAGCAAAGGCTACTCATTTCGCCCATTAACGGTACCCGAAGTTTATAAATACAAATATTTATGTGTTTATTTGTTTTTGGTTTGTGGGTTTTGTTGTTTGCATTATATGTTGAGATGGGTTTTGTGGTGGTGTTGTTTATTAGGTTCTTGAGTTAAGAGGGCAGAAGCTTGAACTCAGGCTTCTTGAGATTGCTGAAAAAAAGGTTCTTGAGGAAAAAAAGAACTCACTTTTAAGATTCATTTTATTTTGTCGGTTTTGCCAATGAATTTGAGTGATTTTTATATTTTATTTGGTGAGAGTAGGAAGTCGATGAATTTATAATTGGGCTTCCGAAATCCAGTGCTGGGAAGGAGACAGAGCAGTCGAATAAAGTTCGTAGTGTGGCCGGAAGGCTTGCTGTTCGAGCGGCCGAGAGGTGAAATTTTATTATGGGATAGATTGCAATTTTGGTTCTGTAGCTGATATGAGTTGGCAATAGTAAGTCTTATAAAAATTGCGTCTTGCAAAAGCTTTGAAAAAAATTTCTACTTCAACCGTTTGATAGCTTAGAATTGCGGATATTACACGAAAAAGAGCAGCTGATGTAAAGAAAGCCAATTTCATGCATATTGTGAATGTTGTCTTAGCTTATTTCATAGATGTCAGTTACTTGGTGCAACATTTTGTTGATCTTGAATTTCGATTCTAAACCCAGGGGGTGGAGGGTGTACCTGCAAGACGAGCATGGAACATCTGCTGAGGCACTAAGCCATATGATAGACGAGTAATCATTCCACTGGTTATGTTTATTTTTAAGCTGCAGTTGAATTTCATAATGCATCCCTTTTTAAGTAAGATCATCCCATACAGTTTCGCAGATTTTAGTGTAATCTTGTGAAGTTTAAAGCTTAGGAGTATCTCGTCATTTTTAATTTTGAAATTGACTTGAACATATTCAGGGGTGTCGGTAAATCTGCTCGTCATCGGATGATTGATGCCTATGCTGCTATGGTGAGTGATCAACAGAAGTGTTGTTCTCAATTATGGCTTGATTTTGTGTGTCGAGCTTTTTCAAAATCTATTGATGAAAACAATCCTATTGAAAAACAATTGAAGGGGTGACTAACAAAGCATCTGAGGTTTATACTCAAAGCACTCCTTTGAGGTTTGTATTTACTTCACAAATAGCTTCTCATTGAGGATGCATCCGGGTTGTTGCTTCTGTAATTAACCCGTAAAGTTTGCAAGATACGCTGTATCGAATTTGGAATGTGATCACAATTTTCACATGACATGTGGCTTTCCCATTTCTTATCGGTGATTGCAGAAGGTGCTCGAAAGATACTTTTCATCTTCGGGAAAAGGAGCTGTACTCGTGGTACCTAAGCAGTTGGAGCTCCAGAACAAGCTTCGAATGGGTCCACCAAAGGATGTCGATTTCTTCCCAGATTAAGGATGGCAATGTCGATGCCTGATGCCAATTGGTAAGAAGCCTCCCCTCTCGAACGTGCCCTTGTCATATGGGGAAATTCTGTTGCACTTATGTTTATCTAACTTGGCAAACGACATATTAATCCATTCTTTAGTTGAGTTGATGTAATTTACAAAGGTATGCTGTTGGAATATGTAAGTTTTTAGCACGCGCTTAATTTACAAATCCCCATTTGAAAATTCTAAAGTTGTCTATTTCAACATTGTGTCTTGAGGGGCAACATTTTCCCCATGTCCCATGCACTTTTTGCGAGTTTTGCTACTTTACGCATTCTTATATGTAGGCTGCTTTTCACAAACTAAAGTCTAAAAGGAGGTTTCACTGTTGAAAAATCTTCAAGTTAATGCCATATGATTCACAATCCATGTGATATTAGAAGCATATAGATAGTCCTTGAATTGTGAACATAAATTACAAGAGTGAGTGACTGGATATACTAATGTGGAAACAATTTCTCCTTATATTTTATGTCGAAAATAGAAGATCAGCAATGCAAAGTGGATCGATATTGCAAAAGAAAGAAGGCCAACACCCACCGACATACATGCACACACAAAAAAAATCCATATGTGGAAGTTCGTGGAAGACAAAAACATTGGTGGAGCAAGAATGGTTTAGATCAAATTGGTGGTTAGACTGTGGTGTGGTCTCTACAAATCATATAGTTCACGAAACTAGCATGATTCAAAATCATATAGCTCACGGCATTGCTAAGTGGGCTTTGAAGTCGAGCAACAGGTTTACGTGGTCTGGTCGGACTCTATTCCAATCTTTTTTTTTTTTCTTCTATGTTCTGATAGAACTTGATGGTTTAATGTGGCTATGAAGCCTTTTATATCAAAGAAAAATAATGTGGATAAAGATAACTTTATGATAGAAAAGGAAATATCAGTTGATAAATTTGGATGGCCTAAGAAATGTTTTGTAATAAGTGTTTGTTACCCGAAGAAATGCATAACAATGTGAGAGCTTTTGGAATAATTTCATCAAGTCTTGAATTTGCATCAAATGCATAATTGTTTGGTTTGTTTGATAGTCTAGTACTCGCTTTTGATAACTTGTGTAACAAGGAACTAGTACGTATCCCGTGCGATGCACGGGTAGATAAATTTGGAAAATATTATAATTTGACATGCATTTATTTATTTATAAGAGAGTTATAATATGTAGGAAAATTATTCAATCATAAAATGTTTGTCGCAAAAAATCATATATTATTAAAAATCTCATTGTCCACAACATTATGAGTTTGATTATTGAGTTACTCGTCGTTCCCACAAACTAATATTTTTAACCCATTCTATTTGTTACACGTGAAACATCAATATATAATTGGCCGTGTTACCAAAAACAGGATTCTTGAGGAACAGACCAACGTGCGAGAAATATTGCCTCTGACTCTTATTTATAGCCATGACATATGAACATAAGTGGGAACTGTAGCCGCTTGAACTTAAATGGAACCCTAAGACCTGATTGAGTGGTATTAATTCTTGGAGTCAGGACCTTTTCAACAACGTGATCTACTGTCAATATCTTGTATTCGAGCACCTGAGTTATTGGTGCGGAAGAACGACATATTTCAAGCAATCATTCTTTTTATATATTATCTATTAATATAAGAAAAACTAAGTAAAGTATATTATGTAATTGAAGTATGACTTGAAATACAATATATCATTTGTTAATCTGATAATGGTAGACTATGATGTGTATGCAGCACACTCTGATAATGAGAGGAAAAAATCTCTAATTAATTATTGTTTTGTGGTGTAATAAAAGATGATCCATTAAAAGCGGGTGAACTCATACACATTGTATAGAAGAATACGAAAGATACAATTAATAAACAATTTTTTTCCTAGTAATCTATTACTAAGTCTAAGGACATTAAATTTTATCGAACAAAATATATATTTTTAAGACCATCACAATACCATTCATGATGTCACATAAGACCGAACTTTGAAACAATCGAAGATATCATTTTGTAAGATTTGGATGGTTAAATATAATGTAGAAAATTAAATATATTATAATTGATCAGTTGATTATTATAATATAAATATATATTATTTATATTAGTCTATTAATAATAAGTTATAAATTAATACAAAGAAGTGGGCTTATTGTGTATTTTTAAGAGTACAATAAGTAGACTTAACGTTATGTAAAAATTTTGCCAATTTAATATGGGCCTCATATTTATTTATTTTTTTTATGTTTAAATACAGATGACCGATTTGTATTCCAGACTATATGGATTTTTAATGTTTATATCACGGATTTTCACGGTTTTTTTTTAGATCACGGATTTTTTATGTTTAAATGCAGATGACCGATTTCAATTCTGTTTTTTTAAATATAAATTTTTGTATGGAATTAAATACAGATGACCGATTTGTATGGAATTTTTAAACAAAATGGAGTTTTTAAAAATTGAAAAAATTATCTTTCAAAGAAGTTGAAAGAAAATTGGATTTCCATATCAATTGCCTTATCACTTTGATTTAATTTTAAAGAAAATCGGATATCATATCACTTGCCTTATCACTTTGATTTACTTGCCTTATCACTTTGATTTAATTTTCCTTAATTACAGATATTTTCTCATAATATGGATAGCATGTACAACTCACCATAATTAACGCCGTGGGAAAAAAAAGAGATAAGCATTAACAACTCTTCCTTAATTAAAGTTGACCGTTGGAAAGAAATAAGACAACAAAAATTACTATAAGTAGTAAACAATTAATGAAGAGAGAGAAGTTGACTGGATTTTAGTTGCTATTTTTAAAAAATGGTAAATCTGTTTATATATATAGATTGCGCATAAACAATCAGGTAAAAACATATATACGACTCTTATGTTCGCCGCATATTCTTACAAACACGAGTTTAGACATAAACAATCGAGTGTATATTTCAGTCAGCGAGCATCAATGAGCGACTTTTATGAAACCCTTCATTTCTCTTCCCTCAACAATTTTCAATGTATTGTATGACAACAGTATGTTCTATAGAAAATTTTATTTTCGACCAATACAATTTCTAAATCGACAATTTTCGAAATTGAATTCTCATGGACTATATAGAGTTATGACGCGTGAGACTACTTTTGAATTTCATAAAAGTCACTTTTGAATTTCATAAAAGTCACGAGAATGTGATGTTTCAACTAATATAGAGCTTTCGACGTGACTGCTTTTTGAATTTTATAAAAGTCACGTGGATGTGATGTGTCAGTAATATGACGTTTGTGAGGTGACTGGTCATTTCCATCTACATACTTAGAATTCCATAAAAAAGTTGTCTCTATTTTTTTTTTATCAATTTTAAAAAGGTATGAAATTACTATTAATTATTTCCATTATAATGGGATTAGTAAAGCTATTTTTTTTTTTTTTTTTTGCATTTTTGCCCTCGGAGCTTAGCAATAGAAGAGGCCATAGAAGAGGCTACATGTTTTTTCTTCATCTTTTTTTACTGTGAGAATTTCCCGCCCATTAATGGCGGCAGCCAAATTCTAGGCTTTCGAACCGTCTCTCAGTTGTAATAAGTGTGAAGAATCTGCCTGGCCTCCACAAAGATCTCTGCATTCAATATTCTCGTCGGAGGAGAAAAATTAGGGCTCGTTACTTCGCATCTGCAATCCATCCCTCAACAATGTCCGACGCTCATGAAATATTCTCTCAGCTCGACATATCGGAGCATGTGAGTTCCGATTTCCCCTTTTCTGTTACTCCGAAACTCGGTAATGGCGATGCGTCTGTAGAAAACATTTCAATTTTGCCTAAAGTTGGAGTGTGTGTGTGTGTGTGTGTGGCGCAGGAAAAGGATAAACTGGTCGGGGACGTGATCCGCTATATTCTCTTCAGATACGAACAAAATGGACGCTGTCCGATCAAGAGAGAGGAGCTGACGCAGCTGATTACAGGTAAAGGCTACAAGCAGAGGAATTTGCCGGCTTTCGTCATCAACGAGGCTAAATCAAAACTCTCCTCGATTTTTGGTTACGAATTGAAAGAGCATCAGCGGTCTCGGCCTTCGGCCAATCCCGGCCGTGCTTCTCAACAGAGTGAGTATACTGATTTATAGATTCATTTGTTTGATGAAAGTGAATGGGTGAGCACGTTGTTCTACTATAAGGAGTTCTCTTGAATTTTAGGTTTAGCTATTTCTGCTTTGTCGATTTTTTTGGTACTCATGGAAGTGTCAACCATGAACCATGTCAAGCTAGACTTAAATGTTAAGATATTGGAAATTTTAAAAGAGATCACTTCTTGTAATGAAATGAATGGTTTTTTCTCTCTAATGTTGTATTTAGATAGAAAGATTTGAATTTTGAGCAGAGGATTTGGGGGAAGGCTGTGGTTGAAGATGATTATGATTGAAATTTATATCAACAACTCAATCCGTAGCTGTTGGTAGTGAAGATTTGTACCTTAAGATAGTTTCAAGTCTTATAGGATTTTGAGTTCTCTGGGAAAGCAGAAATGAAAGAAAATTTACTTATATGATTTTCATCTCTTTTAGTCGTCAACATATCTGGATGCTTCTGTTAATGATTATTAGAAAGTTTAGATGAGATGCCACTTACTTTTCTTTCTTTTTCTCCAGAAGTTTTACATGAGTTATCATGCAACAATCTTCAGAGTTCGTGCAAATGCTTAAGATTTATCTTTTTTGCCTTCTTGAGTTTTTAATTAGAAGTAGCTTAGTCATCACAAACCAGTGCTCACCACGAATCTTGATCCTGACCAAGGGCAAGGAAGTATAATTCCCTTACTTGGTCAACCGTGGTCTCTTAGATGGCGCAATAGGTATACGTTGGTACCAGATGACTTTCCCTGATGCGTGTGTTTCTGTTCTACACTGTATATATTGAGACAGTTGGTAGCTTCTTGGAGTGGGCCAACATGTAGATGGATATAACCTTAAACCGTCATGCATTTTAAGTGTGTGTTCTTATCAGTATTTATTGTTGCAGCTACTGGTGATGCTAAGTCATATACAATCTTAAGTGAGCTGCCAGCTGATGTCTACAAAAAGTTTGTGGAGGATACGAGTTTGTCACATGAGATGGGTTTCGCTTTTGCAGTTGTTGGGATTATTAATCTGAGTGGCGGAAAAATTACCGAAGGTATGCTAGCTCAGTGATAAACGTTGTATGGCAGTCAGACGTAGTATAGTAAGCCATCTTGAAGAGATTGATGCTCGTTGAGATAAGGGAAATTAAAATGATATTTAGTCACCATAAGGAGATTAATGTTCATTGAGAGAAGGGAAAGATGATTAGAGAACTAAACAGTTATCTATAGAACCCCTCCTGAGGTATTACAAGTATTCTACTTAGGTTTGTGTATGTCTTACAAATTTCACCCTTAAAGATTTTGCAATATTTAATAGAACCAAATTTTATGTTGTTATTTGCAATTTTTTAAGATAATTGTTTTTATTTTTTTATTTTATTTTTCCTTTCCCTCCCTTCCATTTTTCCGCTTATCCCTATTAACCCTATTAACGGTAAGGTAAAAATATTCAATGTAGTATTTACAGTCATCGCTTTTACTTATTTGTTCTCTTTCCTTTTGCCTTTGGTGGAATCTACCTTCCAAGCTTTCCCTGTTTGGATGCTACTCCATATTTTGGCCTAACTTATAAATCAATTTTGTTTTCCTGAATTCTTGAAGAAAATCTTTGGCATCATCTGAGGCGCTTGGGAGTGAACGAAAACGAGGAAAACCATCCAAATTTTGGAAACACCAAGATGGCATTGGAAGCACTTGTCCAGCAAAGGTGACCAGATTGTCTGTTACATTCACAAAAAAATTGTGTTGGTTTTAATATCTGATTTTTTGGCTTCGTGTTTTTGCAGATACTTGCAGAAAGAAAAAGTTAGTGGCCCAGATGGCAACACTATATGCTATGAGCTTGCTGAGAGAGCTCTAGATGAAACCACTAACGACAGAATCAAAGAATATATCACCCAGGTGTCTGTTTATTAATTTTGAATATCTTTTCAATTTTCAGTTCACGGGGAGTCTTTGCAGTAAGGCTAAAAGTGAAAATGATTATTAGCTTCATCAGAGCTACCTGTTAGAAGCTGAAAATTTCTTTTTAAGAGTTCACAATCTCCTCTACAACATGGAGTGTAAGATGTTTTAATCCACTGACATTACCGACAAAAATGGTTTATCTTTGTTGGCAGATTGTGCAAAAGGAAGTCAACCCGGCGGAGGCTGAATAAGAGAATTTCTACATGAGCTCGAATTGTGCTTTTGTTCCAAGTGAAGTGCATTCTGAACTGTTTAGCTCTTTCAGTCTCCTTAAAACTTTTTTAGGATGTTTTGAAGTTTGCCGGAGAATGATGGGCTGTACTGTTGTTTACAGTGCAATGATATGCCTACTGTGGATACTCTTATTTTGTATTTATGGCAAATATCTGATAACTAAGAAATGATGTTTGGATGAGCCAAATGCTTTATGTTTCAGGCTGCTGCTAGTGGCAATTTTGCCTTTTCATATACAGAATGTAACCAAAAGGAAAAGGTAAAATATCTCTATTTGCCCTTCTGGAGCCATTTCATCTGACTGTAATTTGTTGTAACTTAGTCGAGACGTGAAAATCCTATCTTTATCGACTGATGAACACATTTTACCAGAGATTTATACTTTTATGCTAAAATTACATGCTTCGAAAAATCATGTAAACAAGTATGATGGGTTGACCTGCTGTTTCACGACAGGATTTGTGATTTTAGAACCTTGAGGCGCTGCATTTTTCGAGTGGAACCTCGGTAATTCTGGTGACTCCATTATATTTAACTCTACATCAGGCTCGAATGGCTGCAGAACAGAAAGGTATTGATCAACCATATCTTGAGATACATGCTCCAAACTTGGAGGTTCCCACTGCAAAAGGTTTCACAACATATGAAGAATGCAAAATATTCAATATATTTTCTACTAACATATTCAAACTATTCAATGCTAGACGAAACATTTCACAAACGTGCGATTGTGGCTTACCTTTCGCGTAAAATCTTTAGCCACCAACTTTGCCCGAACACCCTAACAACAGAAGATTAAAAAACTTTATTTTCATGATTTAGAAAGGGGAAAACTGTGTATTCTGTTGCACTTTTCATGACTTACAAAAAAAAAAAAAANNNAAAAAAAAAAAAAAGTAAATAAATAAATCATTGTATACCTCTACAAATTCACTGGTTATCTGCCTGGAAATGGCTTGAACTGTCATTCTATATTCTCTAATCAAGCAGTCCTCATGACTTTGAAACCTTCATTCTCTTACACAATGCTACCTTACAAATTATTTGTCTTTATAACAATAACTCAGTTATATATCTATTAATATTAATTAAAAAAATTATTTATCAATGAATATTAAACCAATTTATGCATAATGCTACCTTACACAATGGGTGTCGACTGCACGATCCTTCATGCACCAGCCCTCACAAGTCACGAGCTATGTTCATCACAACTCTCACCACGCGGCACCATCCGATTGGCCAGACCAAATTTCCACGGAGCCCTCGCATTTAGAGCATCTCCGATGACACGTTTTCCATTTTGTATTGCATAGCCTGAAGGAAGGAGATTAAAAGATTGGGTATGCAATATGGCTAATGTCAAAGATGATTTAATTTGATATGTGTAAAATTATAATTGGTTGGATAATAGAGAGAAGTTGAATAAATAATATAACATATAATAGAAGTTATTTAGAAGAATTTTTACTTCTAGAAAGACTTCTAAAAATTTTTTATGCCACGTAGATTTTTTGTGTCATGTGAGGACAAAATTAATCAATTCAAAGACCATTAGAGATGCTTTTATAGATCTCAATCTCATCACTTCCCACATCCCCAACGCCACGTCTCATCCTCACAACTCCATCGGTTAGTCAACGCTCCACATGCTTGCTCAATTTTTAATGGCCACTCTCGACATTATAGTTAGTTAATCACTGAGCATCGGTCTCAGTAGCTTTGGTCTCTGATGGTTGCTAGTTGATTAATCATCTTTTGAGCTTTTGTTTAGAGCACTATAGTTAGTGTTTCTCTGTTGCCCTTTTGTTTGGATTGTATAAGGCTTCTTAGCCCCCGTGTTTGTACATTCTTCATGACCTAAAAATTATATCGTTTCTTTAAAAAAAAAAAAAAAATCTCAACATTATATAGATCCAAACTAACAGTTGTGCGTTTTGATATATAATATTTCTATCGTTTCGAAAAAAAAAAAAAAAACTAACTTTACTCAATAAAACAAAGGCATAAGAGAAAAAAAAAGAGAGAGAGAGAGAGACTAATACGTTGTTAAACAGTAAAACGTAAAATTACATGATGGTTGGAAAATGGGATGCACTTATTGTAATAATAATTGAATTAAAGTGGGTCCCACAATTAATTATAATTTAATAAACAATTTGGCAAATTCAGCTCAATAACGTGTGGAGATTCTTCTTCCAATTGGCCACATGACAACTTGCATTTTGCTTTGGAGTAATAATTGAACTGCCAGACATTAAGTACTAAGTGGCCAGGCATTATCTGCTCACATTACACTATAAATAGGCCCTTCGGCCAGATGAAAAAATGTACTGACCAAACAGAAGAGAAAAAGAGGGGAAAGAAAGAGAAAGAGAAAGGAAAGAAAGATAGATTTATGTCCAAATATCGGATATAAAAATATCAAAAGAGAAAAAACAAGTGATATTTTTATTTGTTTCAAGATATTCTTTTTATTACTAAGTGCTCAATTCTCGATTTCGTTCCCGTTCGCCGGAGCTCGTAAATCTGGTGTGCTACAGATATAGAGACGTTTGCCGTTATACTTTGGGGAAGTTACGCCTAAACCGTTAGCTACCACACGGGGCGTATTCTTCTTGCTGAAAGAGTTTTACTCGCCTCGGCTAAAATCTTTCCGTTTTTCAGTTGTAATTTATTTTTCAGTTCAATTGTAATTTTCTATTTTTAGATTATTTGTAAGAACTGAAATTACATATCAGTTCGTAGAATTCCCGTGTAATTTCACACCAAATATCCAACAATCGCAAGAAGAATATTCAGTCATCCTACTGAACTGATGGCATCTACCGGAGCAGGTTCTAGCTCTCAACATCCGATTAATCATGTACCTGTTGTCCATGTTCCTACAGCTGACAAGCTCGAAAAATTCAACGGGCTTGACTTTAAGAGGTGGCAACAAAAGATACATTTTTACCAGACAACTTTGGGTTTTACACTTGAAGGATGACCCTCCGGTCATTTCTGATAATGAGACCAATGCAGAACTACACGCTGCGTACGATGCTTGGGGGCAAGGTGACTACCTTTGTCGTAACTATGTCCTGAACGGGCTTAGTAACGAGTTGTACAATGTGTACAGCTCTGTTGATTCTGCCAAGGAGCTTTGGGCTGCCGTGGAGAAGAAGTACAAGACCGAGGATGTCGGGGCGAAGAAATTCGTCGTCGGCAAGTTTCTTGACTTCAAGATGGTTGACACAAAGACTGTCGTGTCACAAGTGAAAGAGTTCCAGCTAATCTTGCACAATATCCATGCTGAAGGGATGACCTTGAGCGAGTCATTCCAAGTAGTGGTTGTGATCGAGAAACTGCCGCCAGGCTGGAAAGACTTCAAGAACTATCTCAAGCACAAGAGAAAAGAGACGAGTCTTGAAGATCTAATAGTTCATCTTCGTATCGAGGAGGACAACCAGAAGTCATCATAAAAAGTCCCAATGATGGAAGCTCGTGTCAACTTGCTGGCGCAAGGCAACTCGAGCAAGAGGAAGACCCAGAACAAGGGAAAGCAGCCAGCCAAGGTTTGGAAGTTTACCGAAAATTGTTACAATTGTGGAAAATCAAACCATATGGCTAAAGACTGCAAGAGGCCAAAGAAAGCTGGGCCAAATAAAGGGCAACCGAGTGCCCTTGTTGCTGAACACGACCCTGTGCCGGGTGAATTGACCGACTTTGATATGTCAGCGGTGGTGTTTGAAGCCAATTTGCTGGATAACCCGAGGGAGTGGTACATCGATACTGGTGCCACTCGTCATGTGTGTTCCGACAAGGAGGTGTTCTCTGAATACACTCCTGCTACGGGTCGAAAACTTCACATGAGAAACTCTTCCACGTCTGATGTGGCTGGAGTGGGCACGGTGGTGCTGAAGCTCACTTCTGGAAAGGAGTTGAAGCTGAAGGATGTTCTGCATGTCCCTGACATCCGCAAGAATTTGGTCTCCGGATCACTTCTTGTTGAGCATGGATTTAGGCTAGTGTTTGAAGCTAAGAAGTTTATTCTTAGCAAATATGGAATATTCTTTGGTCGTGGTTATCTCGACAAGGGTTTGTTCAAAATGAATGTAATGGCCGTGAACCGTGTAACCGTTTCTAATGATAATAAAAAGCCTATTTTTGTTTATACCGTCGAATGCTCTGACATATGGCATATTAGATTGAGACATGTAAATCTAAATGCAATTAAACGGTTGATGAAATTAGAATTAATTCCTAATTCTAAAGTTGAGACAAATACAAAATGTGAAATTTGTATTGAAGCAAAAATGGCTAAGTTGCCTTTTCACTCGGTGGAAAGAAGTACTGAACCATTAGGCTTAATCCATACTGATGTATGCGATATGAAAAGTGTGCAAACAAGAACCGGTAAAAAGTATTTTGTAACTTTTATCGATGATTGCACAAGGTTTTGCTACTTATATTTGTTAAGAAGCGAAGATGAGGCTGTGGAAGCATTTAAGATATATAAGACCGAAGTTGGAAACCAACTCGACAAAAAGATTAAAATAATCCGAAGTGATAGGGGTGGGGAGTATGTATCTCTTTTTGAACAAATATGTTCTGAATATGACATAATTCATAAAACGACGACCCCTTATTCTCTACAGTCGAACGGTGTTGCTGAACGCAAGAACCGTACGTTAAAAGAAATGATGAATGCCATGTTGATAAATTCAGGATTACCACAGAACATGTGGGGGAAAGTTGTTTTAACAGCAAATCACATCCTGAACAAAATACCACCTAAAGGGAAAAATGAGACTCCTTACGAAATGTGGAAAATTCGTAAGCCGTCTTATAAATACCTGAAAGTATGGGGGTGTTTGGCTAAGGTTTCAGTACCTGAACCTAAACAAGTAAGAATCGGACCAAAGACAGTCGATTGTGTATTTATTGGATATGCATACAATAGTATAGCGTATAGATTTCTGGTTCATAAATCAGAAAATCCAGAGGTATCTGTTGGTACCACGATTGAGTCAAGGAATGCTATATTCTTTGAGAATGTTTTTCCTATGAAGGAAAAGGTAGAATCTAGTTCTAATAAACGAATGTATGAAACTGCTAGTGGTTCTGTACCAGAGGGTACTAATGAAGAACCGAGACGTAGTAAAAGGGTAAAAACGACTAAAACGTTTAGACCTGATTTTATTACGTACATGTTGGACGATGAACTGAGTTCCCTTAAGGAAGCTCTGTCCAGCCTAGATGGACCACTCTGGGAAGACACTGTAAATAGCGAAATCGAGTCCATTATGCAAAATCATACGTGGGAGTTGGTTGATCTCCCTGATGGTTGTAAACCTTTAGGATACAAGTGAATCCTAAAGAAGAAATATAAAGCTGATGGATCGATTGACAAGTTTAAAGCACGATTGGTGGTCAAAGGCTTTAAACAAAAGGAAGGGTATGATTTCTTTGA